GACAAAGCTAAAGGGTGTAGCCAGGAATCTTATCGGAAACGAAACAACAATAAGTGAAGTAATTGCCAAATTAAAAAGTAACGTCAAGGGCGAGACTGTAGAAGTAATGTCAGCAAAGCTGATGAATCTACAGCAACGCAATAAAACTGCCAATCAATATACATCAGAGGTTGAGCAGATGACGAAGGCCTTAGAAAGTGCGTACATAACAGACGGCTTAACACTAGAGCTGGCCAGAAGTTATTCCACACAGCAAGCAGTAAAAGCAATGACCAAAAACTGCACGATTGATAAGGTCAAACTTATAATGCAAGCCGGCAATTTCAACACTATGAATGACGCCGTTTCAAAATTCGTAAACAGTTGCACAGAAGCAACTGGACAACCAAACTCGGTCCTGTTCTATAATAACTATACACAGCGAGGCGGATACCGCGGACGCGGAAATTATAGAGGTAATTTCCGTGGCCGTAGTAACAATTATAGTTACTACAACAATAATAATAATCGCGGCAACTACAGAGGAAACTCAAGGGGCCGTGGCAACTCGAACAGAGGCTACAATAACAACAATACAAATAATGTAAGAGTAGCCAATGAGAGTTCGGGAAACTCTCAAGCCCCTTTAAATACTCAACAGTAGAAAATGTAACAGTTCATACAATTAATCTCAGCCAAAATATATTTGTCTCATTCACCCATGTGGCTACTGGAAAACAACTTGTCTTTTTGTAAGACACAGGTGCCGAAATCTCTATAGTAAAAGAAAATTCCGATATATTTCAAAACATACAATATAATAACATAATAGATATACGGGGAATATGCCAAGAGATTACTAAATCCAAAGGCTTAACATCAATTGAAATACAGACTACGAAATACATAATTCCACACGATTTTCATATCGTAGACTTACACCTAGCCGTCCCTTGTGATGGCATACTAGGAATTGACTTCATTAAAAAATACAACTGTCAACTAGACTTTCAGCCATCTGAGGATTGGCTTATAATAAGACCAAATAATTTGAAATTTCCAATTTACGTTTCAATAGCATACAGTTCTGGCAATAACTCATTTCTTTTGCCAGCAAGATCACAAGTCATTAGAAAAATAAAATTAAATTCAAAAGAGAACAGTGTATTAATTCCAACTCAAGAAATTGAGCAAGGAATTTATGTAGCAAGTACCATAGCTACAACAGAAAATGCCTTCATAAGACTACTGAATACAACAGATGTAGATAAAGTGGTCAGTGCGAATAATTTAGCATATGAATCACTTTTGAACTACGAGGTGGTCGAAGGAAACAAAGAAACTAGAGAACAGTCTGTATTATCTCAATTGTCAAAAAATTTCCCCCCACAATTCAAATCACAACTTTCAAACTTATGTAAAAAATATAACGACATATTCGGATTAGAAACCGAACCAATCAGCACGAATAATTTCTACAAACAAAAACTGAGATTAAAAGATGATGAACCCGTATACATAAAAAATTATAGAAGTCCACATAGTCAGGTGAACGAAATCCAGAAGCAAGTCGGAAAATTAATCACCGACGGGATTGTCGAACCCTCTGTATCTGAATATAATAGCCCATTATTACTTGTTCCTAAAAAATCAACTCCAGGTTCCGAAGAAAAGAAGTGGCGACTAGTAATTGACTATCGTCAGATTAATAAAAAATTACTGTCCGATAAATTTCCACTCCCTAGAATTGATGATATTTTAGATCAACTAGGTCGAGCAAAATACTTTTCATGTCTTGATTTAATGTCAGGATTTCACCAAATAGAACTAGAAAAAGGCTCAAGAGATATAATTTCATTTTCAACGAGCAATGGCTCGTACCGCTTCACGCGATTACCTTTTGGTTTAAAAATAGCGCCAAATTCATTTCAGAGAATGATGACTATTGCATTCTCTGGACTTGAACCTTCACAAGCATTCCTTTATATGGATGACTTAATAGTTATAGGTTGCTCCGAAAAACATATGCTTAAAAACTTAACAGACGTTTTTGAGAAATGTAGGGAATACAACCTAAAGTTACATCCACAAAAATGTTCATTTTTTACGCATGAGGTGACTTTTCTAGGTCATAAGTGCACAGATAAAGGAATACTTCCAGACGACAAGAAATATGACGTCATACTGAACTATCCAGCCCCACACGATGCAGACAGCGCAAGACGTTTTGTAGCATTCTGCAATTACTACAGGCGAATCATAAAAAATTTCGCCGACTATTCACGGCACATAACACGATTATGTAAAAAGAATGTTCCTTTTGAATGGACAGCTGAATGCCAAAACGCGTTCGAATACTTAAAAACAAAACTCATGGAACCAACCTTGCTACAATATCCCGATTTTAGTAAAGAATTTTGTATAATTACGGATGCTAGTAAGCAAGCATGTGGAGCGGTTTTAACTCAAAACCATAACGGACTCCAACTTCCAATTGCATATGCATCAAGAGCCTTTACCAAGGGAGAAAGTAATAAGTGTACTACCGAGCAGGAACTAGCTGCAATACACTGGGCAATATTACATTTTCGACCATATATTTATGGCAAACATTTCACTATCAAAACAGATCACAGACCTTTAACATACTTGTTCTCAATGACTAACCCAAGTTCCAAACTGACGCGCATGAGGCTAGAATTAGAAGAATACAACTTTACAGTTGAATATTTGAAGGGAAAAGACAATTATGTAGCCGATGCGTTATCAAGAATAACCATCAAAGAACTACAGGACATAACCAGAAATATAAATAAAGTCACTACAAGATACCAAAGTAGACAGAAATCCTGCGCAGGAGAAAAAGAAATAGACTTGCCTAGGCAATCTAAAGAAAAAGCTACAAAGCCCAACGTATACGGAGTCATAAACAATGACGAAGTACGTAAAGTAGTGACCTTGCAAGTAAAAAATACGCTATGTCTTTTTAAACATGGAAAAAAAATTACTGCAAGATATGATGTTAGCGATTTATATACCAATGGAGTCCTTGACTTAGGTCAGTTTTTCCAAAGGCTTGAAACGCAAGCCGGTATACATAAAATCAGCCAACTCAAAGTGGCACCGTGGGAAAATATCTTTGAACATGTTTCATTAGATAATTTCAAGAAAATGGGCAATAAAACATTAAAATCATTAAGAGTAGCGCTACTCAACCCGGTGACCAAAATAAATTCTGAAAAAGAAAAAGAAGCTATAATGTCTACATACCATGATGAACCAATTCAAGGAGGTCATACTGGCATTACCAAAACTTTGGCCAAAGTCAAAAGACATTACTTTTGGAAAGGTATGACTCGATATATTAAAGAGTACATACGAAAATGTCTAAAATGCCAAAAAGCGAAAATAACCACGCATACAAAGACCCCATTAACTATTACCGAAACACCACAAACTGCTTTCGACAGGGTAATCGTGGACACGATCGGTCGATTTAACTAAATACCTTGTAGCAATACCAATTCCAAATAAAAGTGCAAAAACAATAGCCAAAGCTATATTTGAAGATTTCATTCTGAAGTACGGTCCAATGAAGACGTTCATTACGGACATGGGAACAGAATATAAAAATTCAATAATTGAAGATTTATGTAAAAACTTAAATATCAAAAACATAAATTCTACTGCACACCATCACCAGACTGTCGGAACGGTGGAGCGAAGCCACAGAACACTTAACGAGTTCATACGCTCATATATCTCAGTTGATAAAACAGATTGGGATGTATGGCTACAATACTTCGTATATTGCTTTAACACAACCCCCTCTATGGCACATGATTATTGTCCATACGAATTAGTGTTTGGGAAAACTCCAAACTTACCAAAAAATTTCAATAGCATAGATAGAATAGAACCACTATATAATATAGAAGACCATGCTAAGGAATCTAAATATAGATTAGAACAGGCATATAAAAGAGCCAGAATAATGCTAGAAATTAATAAACAAAAACAAAAAGATAGATACGATAAAAATAGCATAGATTTCGAATTAAAAATAGGAGACCAAGTTTTATTAAAAAATGAAACGGGCCATAAGCTAGACTTTAAATATACAGGACCCTATAAAGTAGAAAAGATAGAACCTAATAATAATATAACAATTGTAAATACAAAAAAACAAAAAAACAGACAGTTCATAAGGATAGACTAAAAATTTTTATAGAATAGATTTTGTAGGATGGCCATTCATAAAATAAAAATAACATTACATATTCACTAAAAAAAAAAAAAAAAAAACAAAAAATTAACTACAAAAAAAATATATTTCTCTCCTATTATAAGGAATATAGGAATACAAAAACGAAAACAAAATATATATTAATAAGACATATTCGCATACATTTTGATTTCACTAACTTTTTCAACATTTACTATATTAACCAAAAAAAAAAAAAAAATGAATGAAAAAAAAAAAAACACATATAAAAATATTAATTCCTAATTTTTATAAACATACATATATAATACATATTACACATATAACATATTAATTATCAAAATAACTCCATAAATTACGTTATTTTTCAAAAGGAGGGAGATGTAATATGCTCACATATCGGGTACCCACTGTACCCTTTATATATTAAATAAATACAAAGTAGCAGTTCCCTAAAAACCAAATGTTGCCAGCATTTCAAGTGCGGAGTTTGTTAACCCACACAAGAATGCAATGGGCAGCCAAAGTGCTGAGTCGGCATGTCTGGCATGCGCGACCGAATTATGATATGCCAGCGTATTACACTCTCTCACTCAACGGCTTGCGCAACGACGGCGTAGCTGCGCAGTCCCGAGTTTGACGAATGCTAACTCAAAATAAGAGAGCATTGAAGATATACGGCTGAGACCAGAAGGTCAGGCCTAATTTTGTTAAGTTAATAAAGACCTAATTTTGTTTAATCAATAAATCCGCAAACTATAAATGGCTTTATTTACTTGGGAATAAATCTGCATTTCTACAACACCATAAACTTTGTCTTGTCCATGTTCACTGCTAGTCCTACTTTAGCCGACTCTTTTTCAATAGCCCCAAAGGCTGCTGTAACATCACGCTTGGTTCGGCCAATGATATCAATATCATCAGCGTAACCAAGGAGTTGGACACACCTGTTTGACAGAATCGTGCCCGTCCGATGCACACCAGCCTTCCTTACAATACTCTCCATTAGAATATTGAAGAGCATGCAAGATAGCGAGTCACCTTGTCTGAGACCACACTTGGTACTAAAGGTTTCGGATTGGTCGTTTCCTACCTTGACAGAGCTGATGGTGTTGCTCAATGTCATCCTGCAAAGCCGTATCAGCTTTGCTGGTATACCAAGCTCAGACATGGCGGCATATAGGCGATCTCGCCGGGGACTATCGAATGCAGCCTTGTATTCGACGAATAGATGATGGGTGTCGATCTGGTTCTCATAGGACTTCTCCAGGATTTGGCGCAAGGTGAAAATCTGGTCAATAGTGGATTTACCAGGCCTGAACCCGCACTGATAAGGTCCAATCAGTGCTTCGGCATGGGGTTTCATGTTTTCACACAGTACGCTCGAAAGGACCTTGTATGCGACTGGAAGAAGACTAATGCCACGGTTATTGGTGCGCAATGTGCCATCACCCTTCTTCAGGACAGGACAGATCATGCTGAGGTTCCAATCTTCGGGCATGCTCTCCGTACGCCATATCTTGCTGATTAGTTGGTGCATGCTCCCTACCAACATATCACCAGCTGCCTTAAACAATTCAGCCGGCAGGCCATCAGCACCTGCAGATTTATTGTTTTTGAGTCGTTGGATTGCATCCTTGACTTCGGCATGGCTTGGGGTCGGTACATCTATATCAGTACCATAGATTGGGGTTTGTGGATCATAATCTTCATAGCCCGTGCCAGAGCCAGCTAACAGGCTTGAGAAGTGATCCCTCCATAGCTTCAGCACAATCTCTGCATCTGTGACTAGGTTTCCGTCATTGTCCTTGCATGCAACTCCTCCAGTCTTACAACCTTGGATCAGACGCTTAACCCTCTGATAGAAGTTACGAGTTTCATTTCGGCATCTGCTGCTCTCTATGCTTTCACACTCTCGCTTTTCATGTTCTCTTTTCTTGCGTTCAAAAAGGCGTTTCTCATCCCTTCTCCTTAAGCTGTAGACCTCAACAACAGCCCGTGTAGCCCCAGCTTGCAGTGTTCTTCGGTAGGCGACGTCTTTTGCAGCTGTTGCGTCCCGACACTCCTGGTCATACCATGGATTCCTTGTTGGGGGGCGCTGGAATCTAATGACTTCTTCTGCGGAAGTTCGCAGGGAGTGGGATATGAGCGCCCACTGATCGCTGATGTCTTCAGGTGTTGGAGTTGTTCGGCTCAATAGGCCAGAGACTTGAGTGGAGAATGCATCCCTTATCTGTTGTGATTGCAGCTTTCCGATGTCCAGCCTTCTCAGCAGTCCTCGACGTGCCACCTTCGCAACACATAACCGTGTGCGAATCTTAGCTGCAACAAGATAATGGTCGGAGTCGATGTTGGGACCCCGACAGGATCGCACGTCGAGTACGCTAGATGCATGCCTTGCATCGATCACAACATGATCGATCTGATTTCTGGTCAGTCGATCGGGAGAGAGCCACGTCGCCTTATGTATGTCCAAATGACGGAACCCAGTACTACGAACTACCATATTATGCGCTGCAGCAAAGCCTATTAATCTGAGGCCATTGCTCGAGGTGGTCTCATGTAGACTAAATCGCCCGACGGTGGCACCGAAGATGTCTTCTCGCCCAACCTTGGCATTAAAGTCCCCAAGGAGGATTTTAATGTCATGAGAAGGGCAGCGGCCGTAAGCTCGGTCGAGCTCCGCATAGAAAGTATCCTTGGTTATATCGTCTTTTTCTTCGGTTGGAGCGTGCGCGCATATCAGGCTGATGTTGAAGAATTTGGCAGTAATTCGGATCGTTGCAAGTCTCTCGTTTATTGGCAGAAAGTGAGAGACTCGGCGCCGCAGTCTGGTGCCAACAACGAAGCCACAGCCAAATTCATGCCTTTCTGGATGGCAGCTGTAGTAGATGTCGCAGTCCTTCTTCTTAATGCAACCTTGCCCTATCCATCGCATTTCCTGGATAGCAGCGATATCGGCCCTACATTTTTTGAGGGTATCTGCTAGTTGTTGAGCAGCACCTGGTCTGTACAGTGTTCGTACATTCCACGTGCATACTCTCAAATCATTGTCCTTTTTTCGTTTGCCATGGTCGTCAACGTTAAATCGGTCCCGTTCCAAGGCTTCTTCTGCTTCTTTCATTGAATTTTGGTTTTTCTATGGGTGGATTTCAAGTCCTACGCCACAACCTAGTTTGAAGAGCTAGGACTCTCGTCGCGCGCTTTAGTTTGCCACTCAACGGATGTTAAATGGCAATCCAGGGAGAACCACGTGGAGGTAGTGCGTCGGCTTGAGGAGATCAGTGATAAGGATCATGCTGGCATTCACCAAGTTGAATACAGTCAGACACTTTGCCTTATATGCTCTCCCCCATCCCCCCATCTTGATCCTGTTACCACTGGCATTATTTCTAAGTGGCTGCTCTTTCCTAACTCTCCCCGTCGCGTTTGAGCCGTCCTCCTTTGATAGACCGTTCTGGCCATGTTAACCTTATCCAGCCGGATCGCGTGATCGGGTCCAAAGTCGCTCGATGTCGGTCGGTTATAGTCTCTCCCGCATTCCATACTCATAAAATGCATGCGGTACTTAAAAGTGTTTTTTTTTTTTAAGTGATTTAAAAAGCAATTCAACTATCCGAAATGGACCTTTAAATTTTGGGTCAAGCTTGATTCAATGACGTTTTCCTCTATTTAACAGGACATGTTCTCCTACTTTATGTTTACCTTCTTGACCTTTCTCTCGTTAAACCTACGTTTGTCATAACATGCATTTTATTTCCAATTACCTTAGCTTGCTTTCCCTGTTCCTCGCGAACTAGTGAGATGTTCAAGGGGGGCTTAGCTGAGGCCACCAGGCGGGTCGCAGGTTGCGGATAGCGAACGGCCTTCTTCGCAAGGTTAGTTGTGAATAAGCGCAAGCGAATAAGCAACCCCGGACAAACAGCGGGTGCACCGGAGTCGGTGTACTGATAAGACGCTTGTTTGGCCGTCTTTAAATTGTAGCCTCACACACCCCTCTTCCCTCACAATTACCTACCAACTTCCCTTCCCGCAATCTCACTCCGGTGCCGGACTAAGGTGTCATCCGACCCGTGCCGATAGTCAGCCTGGCTGGGGGCCCGGATTAACAACTAGCCCAGTCTCTCACGGAGGGTTCAGGCAAGTGGCGACCGCCTGTCCTAACCGCGCCTTACCCGGGTATGGCGGATCTCTGCCCGGGTGGACCTTACTTTCTCCGCAACTCGTGGGATCCACTATGAGAAAGAATAACACAAACAAGTTACCGCAGGACATCCCTGCCTCGAGTGTCGCAAGACACTTTGAAAATCAACTCCTCGACGGGGAGCGACCACAGGTGGGACCATCCCCACCCAGGAGCGCAGCCACCGCCAGGAGTGCGTCTCGGACGCAAGATGTGGGACATCCCCCACAACGGTCTACTGTTCCAGTCCGGGAATGTGCGCGACCAGCAGGACCATCCCGGCTGGCTCGCCCACCCCCCGCGGCTGGACAGAGGACCAGGCCTGCCGCGAAGAAGGATGTCCTCCCAGCCAGAGGACAACCTGGAGGCATAGACGACCCCAACAGGAGAGGCCTGCCGGGGTCCAAAGCGAAATGGTACCTCAGATACCTCAAGCAGGGCATGTCACCTGACGAGGCATTGAGGAAGGCAAAGGAGCCACGACCAGCGGCCCCAAGTAGTGCACCTGCCAGCAAGCGGGGTAACAGCACCCTCACCCCTCCGACAGACACCCCAAAAAGGTCGAAGTCAGAGGGCACCAATGAGGTCAAGGCAACTCCCTCCTGCCCAAAGCTTGAGGAGCCTTGCACCTCAAAGGCGGCGGCAGCACGGATGAAGCAGCCACCCTCCAGCTCCACAGCCCCTCTTACTGGCACACACACCTCCTATGCGGAGGCTGCCAAGAGGGTCAGAGTGGCGGTGCTACCTGCGGAGTTCCCACAGGTGCACTTGAGCCACGATGAACTGTCCGAGTTGGAGGAGGCCATCATGGACGACATAATCACGTCGGCATGGGACACGGCAGTTGCATTTAGGGGCATCCACTTCAGGGTAGGATACCTCATAATCGACTGCCTGGATCAGGACTCAGCGGACTGGCTGAGGGCCGTTGTGCCCTTGCTCAGGACGTGGAAGGGCGTGCCCCTAGAAACCAAGGTGGGAGAAGATATCCCCGCGGCATATAACGTCACGGTCTTCTGCCCCAGAAGCGCGGAAAGAGAGAATGAGGAACTCCTCATGTTGCTCGGGCGCCAGAACAGGCTGGAGACGGACGCCTGGAGAGTGGTCTCCCGGAGGAACGATGGAGGCGGAGCACTCCTTGTCATCGGGATCGACCAGCTCACCCGAGACGAGATCGTAGCTAGAGGGCATCAGCTCAACTTTAGGTTCGGTACCGTCTCGGTGAGTGGGCTGAGAAAGGCAGCAAAGGTGGCCGCAACGGAAGGAGCGCCCTCTGGTCCCCCAGATGGCAAAGTGGAGGTCGATGAATCCCTCGACGAGCCACAGGAGCCTATGGGCACAGAGGAGGACCCTAGCGCCGTTACAGTTGAGAGGAATGAGGATAAGGAGCATCCTACGCCCTCCGACAGTAACGACGATATGGAGGCCGACGTCACTCTGACGGATGGTAGTGAAGGGGAACACCCGCCCCCTTCACCAAAGATGGAGCATCCGCTCCAATGATGGCTGCACACAGCAGCACGAGGCTAGCCCAGGTGAACCTACACCGAGCCAAGGCGGCATCAGCCGTCCTGGCCAGGTTGTTCACCTCCCAACATCTCGGGCTAGCTCTCATTCAGGAGCCTTGGTGCAATCAGGGCATTAAAGGCCTGTACACCAAGGAATCAAAGGTAATATGCGACCAACGGGGTGCACACCCCAGAGCATGCATATTAATAAGAAAAGATATCAACTATAATATCTTTTCAGAGTTCCTAAGCAGGGACTGTGTCGCAGTAACTGTGAGCGGCGCAGGAAGACTACCAGCGATCGCCATAGCATCGGCGTATTTTGCTGGGGATGCAGCATGCCCACCACCGGAAATCATCGGGCTCGTGGAATGCTGCAGGAGGAAGAAGATGCCCCTAATCATCGGGTGTGACGCCAATGCACATCACGTGATATGGGGAAGCACCGACGTCAACAACAGAGGTGAGCAGCTAATAGAATTTATAGTAAATAGTAACCTAGAAATCGGTAATGTCGGGTCCACACCGACATTCATTACTAGAGTAAGAGAAGAGGTCCTAGACTTAACCCTGATGAGCAGGTCTCTAGGACCACTTATTAAGAACTGGCATGTGTCGCCAGAGGAATCAATGTCGGATCACCGAATCATTAGATTTGAATTAGACTTCAACACCGCTAGGGACGCCCCCAAAAGGAATCCCAAGAAGACAAACTGGGATCGGTTCAAGTCCTCTCTTGAGCTCGATCTCTCTAACGAACCGTCAGGTATACCCAGACATTCCTTAGAATTAGATCAGGCAGTGGATAACCTCTGCAAGAAGATAACCAATGCTTTTGAGGGCAGTTGCCCTCTTGGCAGACGGAAAGCAGATAGAGACGCCCCATGGTGGAACGACAACCTGGAACGGCTCAGAATCTCCACCCGCCGGCTCTTCAACAGAGCAAAAACGAGCGAGGATAACTGGAGAAAATATAGACACAGCCTGACGCTCTACAACAAAGAGATCAGGAAGGCCAAACGGAAGAACTACAGAGACTTCTGTGAGGCAATCAGCACAGCCCATGAAGGGGCAAGATTGCACAAGGCTATGGCCAAAGTTGCACCAGAAAGTAACCTAGCCCTGAGGAAATGTGACAACGCTTACACTTCCGACGACAGGGATAAACTAGCTTTACTCTTTAAAACACACTTCCCCGGGAGCTCACCCCTGGCGGAAGACACGTTCAACCCAATGGAGGCATCGTCCACTCCAAGACACTTCAGACCAAGCGCTGAGGACTGGGCAATTGCCAAGTCTCTAGTCTCTCCGGAGAGACTTAAATGGGCAATTGGGACCTTCCAGCCATTTAAGTCACCTGGTCTGGATGGTATCTCTCCATCATTCCTGCAGCAGGGACTGGATTTACTCCTAACCCGCTTAAGGAGACTGATGCTAAGCAGCCTAGCAATTGGACACATCCCAAATGCGTGGCGTAGAGCTAGGGTGGTCTTCATCCCCAAAGCAGGGAAGAAAGACATCACCAACCCAAAGTCCTTCAGACCTATCAGCTTAACCTCGTTTTGCCTTAAAACGTTGGAAAAGCTGGTAGACTACCATATTAGGAGCACAGTTCTTAAGGACTGTCCGCTGCAACCCACGCAGCACGCATACAGGGCAGGTCGTTCAACAGACACTGCACTGTACCAACTTTGTCACACCCTTGAAGGAGCAGTAGACAACAAAGAAGTTGCAATCTGCGCCTTTTTGGATATAGAGGGAGCCTTTGACAATGCGTCGCATGATGCTGTCTTAGCGGCCCTCGCCAGAAGGAATATAGACGCGACAACAAGAAGGTGGATTGGAGCCTTGTTAAGCTCCAGACAGGCAATGGCGACCATTGGTAACAGCACAATGACCGTTGCCACAAGCAGAGGATGCCCGCAAGGTGGAGTCTTGTCTCCTTTACTGTGGAGCCTACTAGTAGATGAACTACTAAAGAAACTCGCCGACAGAGGAATACAATGTCAGGGCTATGCCGATGACATAGTAATAGTAGCCAAAGGGAAATTTGAAGAAACGCTTTGCGATATTGTCCAACTCGGACTCAAGATAACGCTCGACTGGTGCAGGGAAGTTGGGCTTAACCTCAACCCCGCAAAAACAGTCATTGTTCCTTTTACAAAGAAGTACAAACTGAAGAAGATGAGACAAATCATACTACTAGGTACTCCCGTAGCAATAAGCCGGGAAGTTAAGTACCTCGGAGTTACCTTCGACAGAAGGCTAACGTTTGCAACCCATATGCAAAAGACAGTGGATAAGTGCCTCAGGGCTCTCTTCACCTGTCGGAAAATTGCAGGGAAATCTTGGGGGACCTCACCCCAAATTATCAGATGGTTATACCTTATAATTGTGAGGCCAATACTCACATATGGGTCAGTAGCCTGGGGT